TGTAATATTCTCATGAGTACTATTGAAAAAAACCAAACATAGATATTCCAGTAATTCAATGACTTCTGAGCTTATTTGATTCTACTCCATTTAAAATGTTCTAATATATCACTAAGCTATTAAATTAGTACCCAGATAAACTTAATCAAGCAATGATGAAACTTTAACAAAAGTGGTCATTTTTAAATTTATACACATTTTGATGATAAGGAATATTGCTTGCCTCTTGTCGGAAATCTCAAAGCTTATCAAAAAGGATGTAGTTTAGTTAAGTTAATTGAAGAGATGTAATTGAGATTACTTCAATCTCAGATTGAGTACGATTAAGAACTAGAGAGCTCTAGACAGCTATCCTTTTATAGTAAGAGCCTACATAGCAGTGCATACCCATGATTTCACCAGCAATCAATTCCATAACCATCAAATATCACTACTTGCACTTCACCATTAAAGCACTATGCTGACACATGATGGTACACGTTTTCAACGTCAATTAATTCATGATATATAACATGACTATCATCCAATCTGATGGGTGATAGCTGTCTCACTTCCAAATTATCTGAACACCACCGGTCATAACTTTTCTCTAAAACTTCAGGAATATCTTAAATCAAGTCATGGATAAAGTGACGACTCTAGTAAGTTTCCTACAGTATCCCAATGAAAATCAACCTGTAACGGATACATCCTACAATATAAATAATCCTCACTAATGAAAACAAATGTACAGTATATTAAACTGAATGAATGAATTAGTCAATTAGATTCAAGTATAATTTATCCTCTTCTGTTTTAAATTAAATCAATAATTTTTCGGAGATGTATCTTGGAGACACTTCTTTTTGTAAAATACCAAAAAAACCCAACTTTACAAGTGTACAATGATCAACATTTACTACTGATTAATAAACTAGAAAAGTTATAATGTAAAATGTTAGTGATTTGCATAATTGTATTAAATTCTTATATTTAACGTTGATTAAAGTACAAATGAAAATGAAAATTTATGAAAGAAATTCGAAAATTAACATAACAGACTTAACATAATTTACTTGGTATTGTTTTACTTGAATACCATGTGAATTAAACTTCACCCCATTGCACAAGCAAGTGGCTATCAGAACTCAGTAGCTAAGTGAATAACGCGATGGCGTTTAAAGTGAACGGTACTGAGTTCGAGTCCCAGAGTGAACATCAACTCTGAGATGCAGATACATCCAGCTGACGAGTCCCAAACAGGACGGAACGCGCGCCCTGGATTCCACTGCTAGCCACTGTTCATCTTTGCTTATAAGACTTGACATACATTATATAAATATATATATATAAACAATAAAACTACATTTATGTTGTTTGCTTGTATCTTCCTATTGTTATTTAGGACTGCAAGCGATTAGTCATTTGTTGGCATATATGTACATCCTGTATGGATCAACTTGATATTGCCTTAAGACACAAGCTATATATAAGCAAAAATGAATGGTGGCTAGCATTGGAATCCAGGATGCGAGTTCCGTCCTAGTCTGGACTCGTCAGCTGGATATACCTGCATCTCAGAGTTGATGTTCACTATGGGACTCTAACCCAGTACCGTTCGCTTCAAACGCCATCGCGTTATCCACTTGACTACTAATTCCTGATAGCCACTTACTTGCGCAATGGGATTCACTTGGTGTTGTAACTTGTATCTTCCCATTGTTGTTTAGGACTGCACTTATATTTAATATTTTTTATAGAAAAGTTATATATATATATATATATATATATATATATATATATATTAACTGTATAATAGGAACATCGATAGTTAAAATTTACATGAAATGTTTTAACCATCATAGATACTGGACCATTTTATAATAAACTGTCACTCTGGTAACACTACAATGATCTAAGGTTATATTTTCGAAAATTAAGCAAACATCTATCGACAAAATATAAGCTTTAAAACTCTTTTCACAAATTTTCTTAATACATTAAACTTTGGTATATTTGTGATAATTATCAGAACGAGGTTTTTACAGAGATTGTAGTAACTTTAACGGTTGAATTAGTTGAAGTTAAACATTAACACCGTTGAATGCCGGCTCAATGGTCTAGAGGTTATATATTCGAGCGCGAGACCGAAGGTTTTGATTTCTGGTTCCGCATGCGAGTTTGTTGATGCACGCTGCTGAGGAGTCACATACTAAGACGAAATAATCGTCCCGGGCTTCCAGGATTTCAACTCGTTATTTGTGTTAGTTTAAAGAATTTAAAGAGGGTGGTTAACAAGATAAGCTTTTTTTCTGGTTTATAATTGATCTCATCAAAAATCCTAACCGTCAATCTATTAAACCACTTATTGATAAGAATTTAATACGTTGGGAATAAAAGTAGGAAATGTTAAGTGTTTTCTAATTACTTCACTCATGAAATATCCACTTAAATGTTAAGTATTTGGATGTATTAAGTCATTTGTGTTTAAATAAACATAATCGAGTATAAATATTATATAACCCATATATTATTCAAATAATATTTAAAAGAATTGACCTACGATATACTTCTGATTAGTCGACATTTATATATTTTAATCGTATGACTTTTTCCTTAAAGAAAAAGGAAGGCAGCCTGTTTGAGTATCTGGTCAACCTGTTTCTAGCCTTTAGATATTTTGTTTATTTTAATACATCATTATGGCTATTAGTCGCATAACCTATTCAGGGTTCATTTATGGAAAGTTTACAAAATTTCTTTGTACAAGTTACAATCATTTGAGATATCGTGGTTGCTGGAAATATTTAGTGAAAAGAATATACACTATTCAAATGTTGATTCCTGGACTATTAACTTTTAGCTGACGACCACTCAATATTTATCGTCAGGATCGACTAAGAAATAAGAAACGGAAACTTGTTGAAATACTTTGTGCTAAGATTTCTATTTTATACTAAAAATATATTAGTGAATTAAGCTAATAATAGTAATAATAATAATAATAAAATAAAAGACTGAAACCGAGCTTCATTTCCTGGCAACATTTAATGTTAATGAGCACCTGAGCAAGTCATGTGTTTAGTTTGAACTAATAAAAATAGCTAAATCAGTCGGTGACAGCCTTAGTTAATCGATTAATTTAAAAGTACATAATTTACTTTTTTTTGGATATTGATATGAGTAAAATTAGGAATAAACTGTAGTGTATGTGTATCTGTGTGTAGGTATGACAGTGTAAACGAAATATGATCTGATCTGATAGATTTATTAACATGTGACAATTTAAGTTGGCTAGAAATGTAAACGTTATATGACTAGTTAGCTAACAATCACTTAAAACAACTTATACACAAAATACCATTCAAGTGATACCTAATTGAATGAGACGTGAAACCTTGAAAAATAGGATTATTCTAAACCCCTTCTCTGTAATTTGCTATGATAATCATCATAATTATAAATATAATTCATTAAGGTTTGTATTTCCCTATTGAAGAAATTAATGACACAGTAGATTAGGGAATAACACATTGATGTTTGAAGCTAAATGTATTGAATTCAAATCATTGTGTAAACATCTACACTTAATAGAATGAAGGTAAGTGCAGTCAATTGATAAGTCCCAAGTGAAAGAATAAATTAGTCCTATGTTACCTATATTTCCAAAAAAATTATTACGATTTATACGAAAATTCGTCAAGATTAGAACGAATAGTTTGACAGAAATTGGGCGCCGAGTAAAGAGAAGTCATTATATGTGAAAATTATATTTGAAATAATCTCAGCGATTGAAATTTAAATAATTCCAACGTTTCGTCCAACTAACTTGTCTGGACTTCTTCAGGGTAATAATCGAAGTCAAAATCAATATTTCTTTGATGGTTTTGATTATTACCCTGAAGAAGTCCAGACAAGTTAGTTGGAAGAAACGTTGGAATTATTACGATTGTTTTACAGAAATTTTTACATTTCAGATTACTATTTATATTACAGCTTAAATACATCTTCAATGTTATTGATATCATGAGTTTTAAAGTGTATTTCACGTTCTAAAGTACTAAAAATACTAAAACTTAACTGAAACGAATTCAAAGTTTAAAGTTATATATGTTGTCAGTTGATTCCGATCAGTATGTTTCAATCTTGAGATTGTTAGACTCGACTTGAAGACAAAATAGTACTATAATCTGTCACAACTGTTATCGAAACTGGTCTCAAGATCATCACTATCAATAATGCATCATGAAGAATAGAACATTAATCAATGGATCACTGAATCTGATTTTATTATATTTTTAAGTTAACAACAAGAAAACTAATCAAAATGATAAATAATTAAAACAGTTTATTTATTCCAATCAAATTGAGAAGTATCAGAATGAGGTTTTGTGGGTATTGTAGCAATTTTTAATAGTTAAATTCATAAGTCGTTTAAAGCTAGACCACTATGGAAAACCTGAAAGCATCGAATGGTCGTTTCGTCCTCGTATGGGACTCCTCAGCAGTAATGGTCCATTATCCCACATAAACTTTTAAAATAGAACTTCACTCACTATTGGTTATGTTTTATAGTTAAATAATTATTAACTGAACAGAACTTCACTTATCATATTAATTAATCCATTTGAATAGCATCTTTCCAACTACATATAAAGTTAATTTATTATTATCTGGGTTTATTGTATTAAGAGAATGCTCCATATAAACCCAGTTAATGCATATTTTGAAGTAAAACTCTACATTCTTGATATGAAGTTGATATGAATTACTGAAAAATTAAGTTATCATGATTGTCAAAGTGTGAATATTCACTTCTAGTTTACATCATCAATGTCTATGCCAATAGGTATGAGTGTTTTATGTACAAATGACATGGATTAGATCCATTAATAGATTATTTTGAAATGAAGCATCCATAAATTAGGGTATATTAAATCTATATTTAACTAAATTATACCATATACTTATTACACAATCAAAATAAGATTAGACTAATGACCAAATTTTATTAAACTTACTTTTTATCTCAGATACTTGTAACTATGACGTTGATCTTTCAACTTGATGAATATCGTAGTTGTTCGTGTTGTCACTAGAGTTTTTATAGAATTTCAAATTTAGTTTTTTTTTTCTTGTCCTGTATTCTGTTCACCACCCACAAATTACGTATGCACAAATTAATACTGTCCAAGCAATAGTAGTAATAATAATAGTAATGATAATAATAGTAGTAATAATAATAATAGTAATTTAATGTTAGTTATTATTTCCAAAATTGGTTGGTTCATAGGTTTCGTCACCAAGGTTACTCGATTGCTTTTATTTCCTTTCATTGGATTACATGTGAAATGGTCATACTTTAATATGATTGGTTGAAATGAGTGCGTATGTGCTTATTTGAATATGAATTGTTTAATGGATAGAACTATCTACGGACAGAGCAGATTTCTTTTTTAATTACTAGAATTATATTGTATTAACTGGGACTGTATTTAACAAAAGAGGATTCAAGTTATTTTCAGAAATACAAACTATTTCATTACACATACATTTACAACAATAATGAATGTGTGAAAGTAAAGTTATCAAAACAATAGTGTTTTAACTTATTTTGACTGACTGGTTGAATGATTAAGGTTTTGAGAACTATAAATATATATGTATTAGAGTAATATGCTTCAAACAATCAGATCACACATATTTATATTCGATAAGTAAACACAAGAGTACAAGATAATAAGTACAACATAATATGTGATCAGAACCAATTTTAAAAGTATTTTCCTAATAGATCATATTGTCAGAAGGGATTTTAGCAATTTCAATAGTTGAAATCATGAGTCAATTGAAGCTAGACCACTATGGAAAACCTGGGGGCACTGGAAGGCCGTTTCGTCCTAATATGAAACTCCTCAGCAGTGTGCATCCACGATCCCACCTTCCGCGAGATTCGAACCCAGGACCTATCAGTCTCGCTCACGAGCGCTTGACCAATAGACGAAACGGCCGTCCAGTGCTTCCAAGTTTCCCATGGTGGTCTAGCTTCAGTTGACTCATGGTTTCAACTATTGAAATCATATTGGTTTTGATGAATTTATATCTATGAATACACTATCCAAATTTGTTGTCAAGAAAAAAGTTACTAAAAAAATTGGAACTGGTAAACATTTGAAAACAATGATTTAACTGATATTTGATGAGCTGTAGAATCCAGGAATTGTTTTACGGACCATATATAACTAATCAGTTGGAATAACCGGTATCTACAAGTTGTTAATCGTGATGAGACTGAAATCACTGATGACCAAAGAGTGACAGATTAATTTTTTGCTAATTCATTAAGCATTTTTCAACACATTGGACTATCACAAACCTTAAATTCTGAAATATCTAGGGAATTCATCCGATCTTCATCGATAACTTGATCGCAGTTGATGAAATAATGATACATGTTGTTTTTACTTGTGCCCTGTGTGCCCTGTTAATGTATAACGTATGATACTACCAATTAGAGAGCAGTAAATTATCAATTGAACCTATGACGCATAAAACCCGTGCGAGCAGTCTAGAGTCCTTATCGTTCCTTCTTCCTGCCTAGCCCAGACAGTTAAGTCCAGAACACCAATCTCAGCCTCTGCAACATGAATCATTTATTTCAAACACACCGGGTTTATATACCAATCAGACAGACCACATCGTACCTTCGAAATAGGAAACAACATTTGAACAAGATCTTGTTAAAAGTGGCTGTGAATGTGGGAGGTGGTAATTAATAAACTCGGCATAACTCAAGAATGGTAAATCGTAGAATAATAGTCTATAGGTCAAAATAAAGCTTATGATAAGAGGGGCATGAATATGAATAGTTTAGTTACTTGATAATTATACGATAAAACTATACGCATATTATTGGTCCATAAATGGATTCCAAAAGTTACCATTCATTATGCTTATCGGGACATAACATATCTGAACACAGCTTTCGAAATAATGCATTGTTATTATCATCTGCAATAAAATGAAGGCCTCTAATAAAATATGAAAGCCCATGATAGTAGTGTATTAGTTGATCATCAATATAAACTTAGAATAGTTTTAGTCATTAACCGCATAATAAATATTGTGATATCATTTGTGTGAGTCAGTTATGCGACTATGACTAATTAACTTATGATATTTTACATTAGAATGTCACGAATCACATAGTGATTTCCACTTCCATTATGAATGACATGTTAGCAACAAATGGGGTAATAAAGGAAAATATAAGCCTTGAATATTCATTCTTTTTTTACTTCACTTTATTTATTTTAGTGAGAAAATTCTTTCATTGTGTTTCATACAAGCACTAACTGCAAGTTCCTTTAAAACACTTATTACTGCAAACAATTAGATGACAGTACATTTTATAAAAATCTTCTCTAGAAGTACTTTAAAAGGCCTAAAGATTAGTCACGGAGCTATTTCTTAATTTACAATTTCCGAAAAGATTTCCAAGAACTCCTACAGAAGCCTTTTCTAGGGTTACTGTCGGTTCTGGGCCTGTGAGAAGGAGGAGGCTTGGATATGGTGTTACCAGTTTTATTCCTTAAAAAATAACATTGCTAGAAAGTCGCTAACCAGGAACAACCATTTTAACTATTTAAACTCTGAGTATTTTACAAAGATTCATGGTTCCTCAACGTGAAAGCTGACATTCTCCAAACATTTTTCAGTAATTGTTCGTTCTTTAGTGTATACGATCTTCATCTTTTGAATAGGGTTTAAAAATGTTCAAAACTGACTGATTACTAGGTTATGATTAATGCCATATGTGTCAGGTCTTTCTTAGTGCAGATCGAATTCTGTCGATCACGTTTCAATTTGAACGCTAGTCTATTTACTACCAGGAAGTCAGACGTGGTCGAGATAGTTCATTGGTAACGTCTCTGAATGTAAAGTTGGGTGAAATGGGATCGGATTCACCACGGAACATCAGTTCTCTCAAGATTACAGGTACACCATATTGATCAACGCCAACTAGGGAGAAACCAAGGTTCAGAGATATTTGTCGACTGTCTATAACCACCACCTATTGAAGTATTCGATAAAAAGTGCTATGGAACTAGAGTTAACAAATATTTATTAGTTAGCTCACGAATAAAAATTTCTAACATACGAAGATAATCTATGCTTTATACTGATTACTATTGATAAAACAACACCAGGGTGCATATTGTAGTTGCTTTTCTTTGCACATGGTAATCAATAATACAACTTGATCAATATACAGTGGTCAAAATCAAGAGCAAGTCTAAACGATTAGATCAAAACTATTTATCATTCTCAGTCAATGTAATATTAGTCACATCACCCTACTATGCACTTTTGCTTTGTACAATCTCTGTATTTTATGCTAACTGATATTTGGAAAAGGAAATAGAGTGAATTTCGTATTTGGATAAACATCAAACAAGCACATATTCATCGTATATTTGATTATGTAATCTTAAGATGAGACGTAATTTATACGTATAAGCTATTAAGCAAAGAAATGATCAAATTATTGATGAGTCTAAGTGTTTAGATTGGTAGACTGGATATTTGAAATAGATTTGCAGTTATTTACACTAATAAGATAGAGCTATAAGTAATCATAATTATATTACTGATCATAGTGAGCATCATCAAAGTTTCTGATGTTATTCAAATTAAAAGTTGCTGATAAGATAAGCTGATTTCTAGGTCTAGTTAACTCTTATCTTTTTAACAGTTACTCATGCGCTAGATGATAATAACAAATTAGATGAATGATGGCTGCACATGTACAATATGCGTCTCAACCAGTACACATTACGGTCAGTAATCATTATACATGTTTCATGCTTTCCAGTCAATGATTCATGGTTCCAATGGTTCTTGATAAAGTAAATTTACGAAAATTGCTTACGTAAAATATGAAACAATTAGACTGTTGAAAAGCCTCACTTTCGAGGACTTTCGTAGAATACTTTAAACGACAACAGATCAATATATATATATATAATTGCTGCGTCAAAATAAACTAAGTCGAGTGTTGTACGATTTCTTCAGAATAAATATGAATGGTCACTCATATTGTATTTATTATGGCATTTAATCTCCTTTAAGTTCTTAAGAATGAAGTGTTATGTCGAAAACACATCTAATTATACTAACTAGTTCACACTAGTCAATGTTATGTCGTCTTGTTGAGGACTTCCTGACTATCGACACTAATCACTGGATATACCAAACTGTTATTATGATTACGTAACGTTTGTTCTAATTTCGTTTGCTGGCAAAAGGTGAACTAACTAAAAATGCTCTCACAAGTGCATTTGTTCGAATTAAAGGAAGTTCCTCCGGTAAATGAAATTACGATTCCGTAAAAATACTAGATAACAATATTTGATAAATAACTCTCATTATAACTAAGGATTATAACTGATCGTATAAATGGATGGGATCAGGATGATCATATTATGATTGCACAAAAAATGGAGTAACTAATGTCAAATCAGAGATGGATGTAGATCGGAAGACAATAGAATTGGTTAACAAAACATGAGACCCGAACTCAGTACTAATCGATTCGAACAATAATATATTATCCACTTGCATCTATAAAGAATATCATGACTTCTAATTAAATTACATTTGTGTCAATTAAGACAGATAGAAATTCAATCCTGAATATCACAACAACAGCAACAAAAAAATGTAAACGTATGCGAAAACTGAACGAGTTCATACATATTTTCTTACGAATGATCCCTAGTTCATATTTAATAAGAAATGAATTGTACTAGTCAATTTTTGTAAGCAATGATGGATAGTGGCTAGCAGTGGAATCCAGGACGCACGTTTCGTCCTATTTGGGACTCGTCAGCTGGATGTACCTGCATCTCAGAGTTGATATTCACAGACTGATCAATTGCAGTCTTAAACCTCAATGGGGAGATACAAGCCAAACAATAACAAGTGTACTAGTCAATATTATGTATTTTGTACAGATCTGTGAGTTGTATTATGTAAATATGTTGGGAAGATACAACCTTAATCTCTAATAAAAAGGTTAGTGAAATTTCAACTGTATAAAATACAAGTCGATGATAACTTCTGTGTTGATTTTAATAATAAACTCAAGGTCTATGGATTTTAGGTTCTTTGTCAACTTAACCAGATACATTTAGAATTAATAAGAATAAATTATCTAC